CCTTCATGGCCCCCCTCCTTTTAAAGATTTAAGGCTGACAAGTGTCGCTAACAGAGGATGGCTTCTCACTCCTTGCCTGCAAATGTTGGAATATCCCCCTCTGCCCCCCCCTCCCCGTTCCTGCTTCTCCCTCATCATCTGGGCTCTGTCACATCTTCTGCCATCAAGTCACGGCACTCCAAACATGACAACATTGATGCGATGTGTCACAGCCTGTGTTCCATGGCAGCAGCTATCACAAAAAGGCCAAAGTTTGCTCCTGGACATGTTTCTGTTCGTGCCAAGAGGCCCAGGGGTGGAGGGCCATGGAAAAAGAACAAAATTTAAACTTTGCGAGTGGCAGCAATGAAGGCTGAGATACAGTTGCGCGCTCTCTCTCTCTCTCTCTCTCTCTCTCTCTCTGTTAGATTGGGGCCTGTGTGTTTTCCCAGCTGTTGACAAATAAAACCCAGGGTGTGTGATTTTCAAGAAACTTGGGGATAGAGCAGAGGTAGGCAACCTAAGGTCCGTGGAGCGGATGCAGCCCAATCGCCTTCTCAACCCGGGCTGCAGATGGTCTGGGAATCAGCGTGTTTTTACATGAGTAGAATGTGTCCTTTTATTTAAAATGCATCTCTGGATTATCTGTGGGGCCTGCCTGGTGTTTTCACATGAGTAGAATGTGTGCTTTTATTTAAAATGCATCTCTCGGTTATTTGTGGGGCACAGGAATTCGTTCATTTTCTCCCCCAAAATATAGTCCGGCCCACCACATGGTCTGAGGGACAGTGGACCGGCCCATGGCTGGAAAAGGTTGCTGACCCCTGAGATAGAGTATTTAGCAACATAGTGAATATCTTAACTATCACGACGGTGAATAGTTTGCTCAAACAGCAGATCATGTTGTAAAGCAAAAGGGGGGGGGCTTCAAAAAGTGGTCCTTCGGGTCCCACTCCCTGACCTTCAGAACTCTCTGCAGGCCACACACCCTTCTCCCCAGGCCATAATCCTCACAGCCCCTGCCTTGCACCCTCACTCCGTGGAATGCATCCTTGAACTCCAAACAACCTTCTTGCTTTTCTGTAGGGAGGATGGTGAAGGTTGTGTGTAGAAATGAGGCTAATGTGAAAAGCTAGAATTTACATAACTTGCACTGCCCGCTTTTGTCTCTTCCCCGCCCCCCACATGTGGCCCCAGGAATGTTGCCAAGGAGGTGATGAGGCTTCTCCCCACCTGCACTTTAAAGCAAGGTGTGTATTTTAAAAGAGAATCATAGAATTGGAAGGGACCCCAAGGATCATCTAGTCTAGTTCCAGTCTGGAATAAAAATGTATACGAATGCAAGAAGAAGCCTTTTGTATCAGAGAAGAGACCTGCATATTCTTATTCCAGCAGCTCCCAAACTCCCCCCACCCACAGACCACATGAAATTTGCTGAGCGTCTTGGTGGCCCACCGAACGATTTTTCCTGCCTTCTGTAGCAGTTGTAATTCCATAGAATTCAAACTGCAATACCATAAAAGCAATAAAAAGAAGCAATAAGAATACAATTAAAAATCAGTACAAATGTTTAATTTGATGGATGTGCCATCTTCTGACTCTGATCACAAATCCGCAGGTCTACTGTGGGCCCCTGGTGGTCCACAGATCGTATTTTGGGAACCCTGGCCTATCCTGTTTTCACAATGGCTGACCAGACACTTTAGGGAAACCCATAAAGGGAATGGGAGCCCCACAGCGTTCCCCTGCTTGAATGCTCCAGTAATCAAACACAGAGTACCACTGATACTGAACGTAATATTGCTATTGTGGCTAATAGCCTTATCCTCTGTGAATTTGTCTCACTCCATTTTAAAGCTTTTCAAGTTTATTTCTATTCCACTTTTCCTTTCCTTTTGGAAAGGAGATGTACTTGGGTCCCCGTATTGTTTCAGGAGCTGGTTGATAGATAAACCCATTTCTCCCCCATCTCAGGTTGACATCACGACGCAACCAAATGAAAATGCACACACATCCTGCTTCTTCCAGGCTCTTAACTCCCCCCCCCAGTAGATCCATCAACCCTCCCCCCCCCCAACGCTTCATTTAATCATAATAATGAAAGGTGTGAGCCACTATTAATTTGAAGGCATTCGCATTAGCCCTGCACTCAGCTACCAGGAAGCCATGGCCATTTTCCAAATGAATGTGCCGAGGCCATAAATTGGAAAGTAGAGATCTGACCGACAGCAGCTCTTCATGTCTGTACATCCCCCTCCTTCTGAGAGGCACTTTACACACACACTTTCTCTCTGTATGGCAAAAGAGCCTCCTTAATTAAGTGAAAGTGGCAGCAAAAGAGCAGGCCTAAGTGTGGAAAGAGGCAGCTTAAAAACATATTTGATTCATTATAAATAATAATAACTGGAAGGTGGGAGAAGGGTGGTGTCAGAACAGAAGCAGGGGAGAACAGCTTGCAAAAAATAAAACAGGAACACTGGAAGCTTCCTTGCAGAAGGTCAGGCTGTTTTGTCCACCTAGGCCAGCATTCTTAGCAGCAGTAAAAAAAGAACGAAGAATTCTGGGGCACCTTCGGGAGGAGCAAATGCAGCTTGGCAGAGACTCCTAGCATGGCAACTATAAATCTTTCATTATTGCCCCTTGGAAAGGCCCCCCAGCTTTCTTTTGAAAAAGGAAGTCAATCTCTAGCCCTCCTAGAAAGAAAGTTATGGAACAAAATGTGCAGGTACCTTCTAAGCGGTTTCTGTGAAATGAGAGTGTGTGATGTGGTCTATTTTTCCTGATATTGAGGAATACTGCCTCTTGCTGTTAGACAGCAACACCATCAGTGTATGTGCATCTCCACTTAGGACCAGGAGAATCCACTCTCTGAAACCCTGGAATGATGCTGCTAGTCAGTGCAGACATTATGGAGCTAGATGGAGTCAGGGTTTGATTGGGTATAAGGTATATTCCTTTGTTTCTGTCCCCACAAACAAATCAGCAATAGAAGCACAGAATCATAGAATTGTAGAGTTGGAAGGAACCTTGGAATCTAGCCCAAACCCCTGTAGTGCAGGAATCTCAACTAAAGCATCCATGACAGATAGCCACCCAACCTCTGCTTAAGCACCTCCAGTGGAAGATAATCTACCTTCTCCTGAGGAATAATAATAATAATAATAATAATAATAATAATAATAATAATAATTTATTTCTACCCCGCCCATCTGGTTGGGTTTCCCCAGCCATTCTGGGCGGCTTCCAATAGAAGGTTAAAAATGAGGAAGTCTGTTCTATTGTCAAAGAGCTCTTACCATCAGAAAGTTCTTCCTATTGTTTAGTCAGAATCTACTTTCTTGTTCCTTGAAGCCATTGGTTTGGGTCCTACCTCCACAAGGGACCACAAAAGATGGAAGTGACCCATGTCTCTCTGGATCTCCAAGAGGCTCTGCTGATGGGAGCTGGAGTCCAGTAACATCTGGAGGGTCATAAGTTCCCCACCTCTTATATAGAGAAGTGATGATGAATCCTCATATGCAGACTGAGTATACCTTTAAGGGTTGAAGGAGGGGATGAGGTGAGTGTAAGTAATCTTCATGAATTCCTACTGGACTTTAGAGAAGCAGAATTATGGAGTTGATCCTTAATGTCCTTCTTTTTATACATTCTATCCAAAGTCAACCTGTGGCCATCTGGAACACAGCTCCCTCATAGTGAGTCAGACCACTATCCATCTAGTTAAGTAATGCCAACACTGGCTGGCAGCAAATCTCTAGGATTTCAGTCATGGTGTCTCTCTCAGCCCTACTTGGAAATGCTGTTTGGGACTGAGCCTGGGACTTGCATGCAAAACAGATGCTCTACTGCTCTTAAGATCCAGCTCCTAGAGGCTGAGGTCCCTTTGGTTCAACCAATAAACTATTTGAGGGGGCTGCCTCCCCAAAGTTGATGGGCATTGCCATTTAAATTATGTTTGTGAGCTGTGTCATGTGATCAATTATGTGGGAGGGGCTTACCTGCCCCCCCAGTATTGTATCCAAGTTGACACCCCTCCTACCGTACCATTGAATTATTGTCTTTCATCTAAAAACAAAGTAAGACTCAATTCCCCATGATTCTGAACAGGAGATGTTGAGGATTGAACCTGAGACCTTCTGCATGCAAAGCAGATGTTCTACTGCTGAATTCCTTCATCTAAAAATAACAAGGCTCCAGTCCTCATGATTCTGATTAGGAGATGCTGGGAATTGAATTGGGGGTCTTCTTCATGCAAAGCAGATGCTCTGCCACTGAGTTACGGCCCTTCCCCAACACCCCATCACCTTTAGCAACTAAGCAGTGATGGTTAAGTTCTCCCCACCATGCCAGTAGCAGCATGTTCCTGCGGTCCCCACATGGCAGTGGGCGCACCCTCGCTCAGTTGCAGCTGCTGGTCCGTTTATAAATCACTGCATCACTCTGCCTGCATTTTAGCATTTAACGTGCCTTCGTCTGTGATCCTTAAAAGCTGAAATTAATGACAACCTTGCCGCCGCTCATTAATAATTGCTTCATTACTGTATACGACTGCAGCCTCTTGACAATAACGGAGTTTGCTCGGGTATTTCTAATTATCTGGCATTTCAGCTTCCTAATGGAGGGCCCCCCCCCAATTCCTCTCTGTGGAAGCAGCACAGGTTTGGGCCGAACGACACGGCACAGAAAGGACCCCAAACATCCTGTAGGCCTGGCATTTATTAATCATTCCAGGACGGGGGGGGGGGCGGAACAGGCCATGAACTGCAGGGGACCAGTGGACCTCCAACTGTGTTGTCTTCTACACATCAACTTAGAAGTAGGGAAGGGAGATGAATTCAATTCACATTTGAAGGGGCACCCACCTCATTCACATTCTCTGAAGCAATGTTGCCGAACTGAAACACAGAAATCCTTTTGCGCTTCTCTGAATTTTGCAATGTAGTTCTGCAGCCAAGTAATGTGTACAAAACTACATACACTAGAGTGAAGCCTATGCACTGAGATGCACTGAAATTTGTGGAGGGGATGTAGCTCAGAAGTAGAGCACCTGCTTTGCATGCAGAAGGTCCCAAGTTCAATCCCCAGCATCACCAGGGCCTGGAGAGCTGCTGCCAGTCAGAATAGACAATACTGAGCTAGCTGCACCAATGGTCTGGTTTGGGTATAGATCAGTATAGAAATAATAATAATAATAATAATAATAATAATAATAATAATAATTAATAATAATAATGATAATGATAATGATGTAGTGTCCAATGTTCATTAAAAGCCTGATGAATTTTCATGAGGACTTTTTTTTAAAATGCCACAAACCAATGTGGAAATGTTGAGAGCTGTACAGGTAGTGACTGTTTAAGGCATGACTATTTGTTGCACAACTGTACACACATGTATCACACTGACCCTGGAACTGGCTGGAAAAGGGTGGGGGGAACAGGGTGGGGCAGGCCTACACATTCTCCACCAATGCATGGGGGGGATGGACAGGAATGCAACCCCTGTGCAAAACAGCTGTTGCCTGTATTTATGATTGGAAAAAGCACCTGAACCGTCTTCAAAGGCAGCCCCATGTTTAACGCAAGGCAATAATCCAGCCAGGTGGTAACCAGAGCACTGGATCACCAAGCCCAGGTTAATTCAAGTATTCCAGACTTTTTTGTGGGAAATTGTATTTAATTTGGGCCCACCAACTCCTAAAAAATCCACAGCTTTTTACACTATGCAGCCAAGCACTACACTTGCCCTCTGTTCAGAACACCAGCATGAATGATACACTGACTGTGAGCTGAAAAGCTTGTGTGACTCCAGGCCGCATTTTCCTGGGATTCCCCATCCCCAACTCCCGGGAGGAGTTTTCAGACATTATAATGCTGACACCTCAATGGACAAACGTCTGCAATGAGCATTTGCTGAGAATCCGCTGAGCATTGCAATCAAATTTGCCGAATCTTTCTAGGAAGTGGGAAAGACTGAGAGGTGGGGAGAAAGGAAGAAAAAAGCAAAAACTGCCTGCAAAAGGATGGTTGGTTTCTCATCCTGTTTGGTGTGACCACCTCAGCTATTGTGACGCAGAGCACCCCTCACCTACTCAAGAGGATTGGCAGGTGCTTTTGCAAGGTAGCAGGGAAGTCTTTTGCTGTGCTACGTTGAAGTTCCAGCTGCCCTCCTGTCTCAGGGTGGGGTGTGTGGAGAGAGATGAGGAGTGTGTGTGAGTGTGTAGCTAGAATTACAACCTACTCAGGTAATTAGCAAAATTCGGAGCAGACAGATTTCCGCTTGCACCGCTGGAACTTGTCACAGGGGACCTGCTAATTAAGCTGGCTTTGGAACTGGTTGCAACCGCTGCCACAGCAGAACAGAAAAGCCATATGCAGCTCCTTGGGGGTGGAGGCCTTGCTACCCTGTCTTGTCTGAAAGGTGCCATTCTGGTGGTCACAGACCCCAAGTGAACTGCTACCTCTCGTTACCAGAACAGCAGCCATGGGCAGCCCCCCCCCGATGCTCGCAACAGAAAGGTGCTTTCTGTGTCCAGAAGTCTACCTGTGTTTATTGTTCCCTGTCAATCACCCTCTGGGGAAAGGTGTCCCTAGCACTGTATTCTTTTTCCTATGTTCACCGTGTGTACAAGGGCCACTGCCCAGACCTGCATTAAAACAGATCCTCAGATTAGAAAATGAGAGCTAATTCCCCCTTAGGGATGGGGGGAGGCATCTGATTCAGCTGGCGTTTAAAGACAGACCTACCTAATTCACACATTCTGGAACAATTTGCAAACTGAAGCACAGTTCTCCAGCCAAGTAATGTGTACGGAAATGCACATACTTGGGCAAAGTGTGCAGATAAATGCATGTGTTAGTGAAAATAATACACAACACTACATTGTATTAGGGAGAAATTGTTTTGCAAGAATATATATCTTAGCCAGGATTACATTCAAAAATGTGTAAATGAGGATAAATTTGCACTGAGACGCATATTCATGAGGAATATGAATGAGACTGATGTGGAAATGGGCAGGAGTTAAAGATTGGAAAAACAAGAAACTGCCTGTCCCTAATTCTCCAAGATTCGGAGATTCTCAGCAGGGAATACTCTTCTCTCAGACGTTCACAATCTGAATATAATCTTTAAGAAGTGAGTAGCTCAAATGCTGTTTGGGACTGCAACCCCCAACATCTGTGGCCACTGGTCATGCTGGATGCGGCTGATGAGAGTTTGAGTCCAATAACATCTTGAGGGCACCATGTTGGCAATTCCTGCTTTAAGTGGCTGCTCATTTCTTTTTCTGCTGTCCTCAGCTTCCCCCTTCTGTGTCCACCCTCTTGGGAAAAGCAATGGTGTCTAATAGCTGACAATGTCCATTGTGGCTCAGGCCATGCGGAAGAAGCATCCGCAAGGCAAGCCAGGCTTGAACCCTTCAGTCTGCCTCAGGGACAAACCCTCTTTTGTAGGAGGTGTTAGGTGTGGTGCACCAGGAAAGGCTTTGCTCCCCACAACAAAAAATCCTGAAATGATTCACATGAAGCATAAAATAGAGGAAGAAAAATACACAAATGCATTAAAAACACAGCCAGAATATAATATCCAATTGTTTGTGCTGCCCAAAAAGTCTGATGCTCTAATGATGACAATGTTGGAGCCAGCTGGGCCTTACTGAGGAGAGGAGAGGTGCTGCAGAATAGTCCTCTCATTGCCAGACTAAGGACCACCCTCAGAGGTGAGCAGGGGGCTGGACTAGATGACCCTTGGGGTCCGTTCCAAACTCTACAGTTCTATGATTTTAGAAAACTATGTATGGAAGAACCAGATTGAAATACCCCTGAAAAATTGGGAAAATAATACCTGGGATACAGCAATGTCTGAGCATCTCACCAGACACAGGAGAACAATTAAAGGCATAGCGAATTGAGACACCTTCCAAGGAACAGGGACCCCTTTCTTTAACTACGTTAATGACCAAAATCAAGTCCTTATTATACCACCTGCTCCATCTTCACAGTGGAGAGGTTATGTTAAGTAATAGGTTTGAACACTGAATGTGTGAATTAATGTCTAAAGTCAATGGACAGAACAAACACTATTAGATGTACCGCTGGATGTTCCATGGTTATTGTTATTGTATTTGCTTAAAAAGCAATAAAAAATTGTTTAAAAAACCCACTATGTATGGCATAGAGAAAACAGATAGAGAGACCTTTCTTCCCACCCTCTGCCATGATACTGTTGGGGAAATCTTATTCTTCTTTGGTGATCACTCGGAGCTGAGTAAGATGGTTTTCCAAAAACATGGTTTTAACAATGAGCCCGTAAGTGACTGTGGAGGCCAATTCTGGATCCACACGTCCTTCCGCAGTGGGGACATTGGGTTCTGGGTGGGAGTTGATCATGGTGTGGATTTGCCAAGCGTGCCTTCCTCTTAGCACGTTTCTCCCTTGCGTCCTGAGTTCGAGTGTCTTCAAAGCCCATGACACCTTTGGTAAAGGCTGGTCTCCAACTGGAGCACTCGCAGGTCAGTGTTTCCCAGTTGTTGGTGTTTATATGACTTTTTTTAGATTTGCCTTGAGACTGTCTTTAAACTCTTTTGTTGACCACCAGCATTACGCTTTCCATTTTTAAATTTGGAATAGAGTAGTTGCTTTGGGGTTCCAGCTGCCTGGAACAGCCCACTGAAGGCAGACACCAATTGTCAGCAAAACAGGACATTTATTTAGGCATTGCAAGACTGGAGCGACACAGCCTAAACCAGCAAGTAGTTGGGGGCAGCACACTAAATATGAAAAAGAGCATAAGCATTCCTATGCAAAGGGAAGCAAAGGGCAGTTGTGTCCATATTTGGCAATATTTCCTTCTACTAGCTTCCATTGGGGTAAGGCATACCAACTTCTTATATTTCCCTCTTTCCTTTGTCCTTAACAGTTATAGCAGCTGGTCCTGCTCACATGTCCTTCTGTCCTTATCTCAAGGTTCTCTTGCAAACACAACCTTCACGTCCTCAGCCCTTCTCATACACATTTCAATTTTATTTAATTTGTTAATTCCTTTATAATTTTATTCTTCTTCCACAGTGTCAAAAAAACTATCTATGGATTCAGGCAAGTAAAAGGAAAGGTTTGTTCATATATGCATGAACTACTATATATTTTGGAAAGCTTTGTTCACTATGCATTCGGATGCCTCTTAAGATATCGTAACCCAGTTCAGCATGATGGTTCCTGAGATCTAAGAGTAGTCTTTCATCTATGTTTGGCTACAGTCAGAGGGCTTTTTGAACCTTTGACTGAAAGACTGAACCTTTGAAAGCTGTAGTGATTTTAACCACTGACTAAAAAGCAGCACTGAGGTTTTTTTTCTTACTTAGAATTCCCAACCCATACTAGATATGAGGCTCCTACTTCACTTATACTTCTGCTGCCCCAATATGTGGTCACAAGTTTAAATAGCTTAAAGGGGAAATTAGATTAATCTAGGGTTGCCATAGGTCCTGATTTTCCCAGACATTTCCACGATTTCTGCCCAGACATTGCAGCTGACTGCAGTATTCTGGATATGTTCAGGAAAGTCTGGTTTGCTGAGCTGATGGGTTATGAAACATGATAGCTAAAGAGAACCTCCGTGTGCAAAGGCAGCCTACCTCCGAGTTCTATATGCTGAGGATGAACGATTGAAGAAAGGCTGCTCTGCTCATGTCCTGCTTGTCAGCTTCCCAGAAGTATCTGGTTGGCCACCATGGAAAACAGAATGTTAGACTGAGTCTCTCTTGGATCTGATCAAGTGCAGCTCTTTTTAAGACCTTATGAAAAAAGGAGTTAGGCACACCCATGGAGTGAACTTACCAACAGCTGTTAGCTATGACAGTTAATGGAGTTTCTAGGTTCAGGTCAGGACCCAGGATATCTCAGAATGCCAGTTGCTGAGGAATAACAGTAGGAAAGAGCTATTGCCTTCTCAGCCTTACCTGTGAGCTTTCTATAGTCATTTGGAAAAGGAGGTGCTGGACTTGATAGGGCTTTTGTCCTGATCCTAAAGGACTCTAACTTTGATTAGACATACATCTATTCTGGCAGAAAGGCAAGAGACCAATGCAATTCAG